AATACAACAAAACCCTTTCTTTTTCTACCAGTAACTGTGAAGTTCTCCATGCCATTACCTTTTTCTCATTTTGTATTTAATTTTTCAAGTCAATATACTGCAAATAGGCTGGACCCCAGATAGATGCTATGTTAAAACTGTCCTGGCATTGAAGATGTGTACACATCTGTCATCCTAGTGCTTGGAGGCTGAGGAAGGAGGATTGCTGGTCTGAGGTCAGCCTGGACATTACATAATAAGTTCTAGGCCAGTCTGGGCTGCACATAAAGCAGTTCAATATTAAAAAAATATATTTGGGGTTGGGGATTTAGCTCAGTGGTATAGTGCTTGCCTAGCAAGCACAAGGCCCTGGGTTTGGTCCTCAGCTCTGGAAAAAAAAAAAGAAAGAAAGAAAGAAAGAAAGAAAGAAAGAAAGAAAGAAAGAAAGAAAGAAAGAAAGAAAGAAAAGAAAAGAAATAAATATTTTATATAGTTTTGATTATTTCTAACACATCTAATTGTTCAGCTCTTACACCTGAGATTGCAACCAGTGCTTGGCAGAATTCATATTTACACCCCAGAAGGGCTGTGTGGTTGGCAGCTGATGGCCCTTTACTTGCCCACAGAGAAAGATGAACCTTTAAGATGTGACTCCAGAGTCTCTGTTCTCTTGGGCATTTTGTGTCCTTGGCACTAGTTGGGAATAATCCAAATTCTCACAAAATGAGGATGCCACCCTGAGCCCTGACTCCAAACAAACAAACAAGTCAGATGGTGGTGCACACCTTTAATCCCAGCACTCGGGAGACAGAGACAGGTGGATCTCTGTGAATTCGAGGCCAGCCTGGTCTACAGAGTGAGTTCCAGGAAAGACGAAAAGCTACACAGAGAAACCCTGTCTCAAAAAAAAAAAAAAAAAGAGGATGCTTGGATGCTTGGTTTATTCAAATGAAGCAGAAATTCCATTTGTAAGTAAACACCTTCATTATATTTACTATCCTAATGTTGTGGGATATTTTGATCGCATTCTAACAATAAGGCCTGTTTTGGATCAGAGGGTGGAGGTAGCCACTAGGGGACCAAAATTAACCATAGAGGTTTTGGAGGACTGAGGACAGATAGAGAGACAGGAAGTAGTAAGGTGGGAATTAGAGAGAATCTCGGCCCTTTTGGATGGAGGAACAAAAGAGATAGGAGCTCACTGGCGGCTTCTCTGAAGCTTCTCTGATCATTCAGGTTCTTACCCTGATATCTGACTCCCGATTTTTTATTGATAAAGAATAATTAGATAAACGCTTCATCCTGCATCATGGATTCTGTACAAAATTGCTGGTTCAGTGCCTTCAGCCCCTGACAAGGCTGTGTCTGCTATAGTACTGAACGTATCAACAGCTTGTGAAGTTCCAAGGACCCCAGAGGAGCCCCTCCCTGCACATGCTCCATCCCACACTGAGCACACCTGTGGCTTCTACAGTGTGACTTTCCTCTGCTTCTCCTCCTCCTGCTTCTCCGACTGCAGTAATCCTTATCCTCTTCATGTTTCTTTCTAGAATGAAATTTCTATCTGAAGCTCTGTACCTCTTTTATTCTTGTGTTCTTAGCTTCAGCCCTGTCCAGAACTTGGGAGCTCTTAGTCCCAAGCATGGCCACACCGTGGCTCTGATTCTTTATTTATTTATTTACTTATTTATTTATTTATTTGTAATGTACATTGGTGTGTTGCCTGCTTGTATGTCTGGGTGTGGGTGTTGGATCCCTGGAATTGGAGTTTGCAGACAGTTGTGAGCTGCCATGTGGGTGCTGGGAATTGAACTCAGGTCCTCTGGAAGAGCAGCCAGTACTCTTAACTGCTGAGCCATCTCTCCAGCCTCTGATTCTTAATCACCTGGAAAAACCTAGAAATGGTCCATCCCCTTGGATTTGACCTGTCCCCAAACAGTCCCACTAATGCCGCCAGGCCTCCCTCCCAGGAACGTATTTCCTCCCCCAGACAACCCTGATCTTCCAACAGGACCTCCCTTCCACCTGACACTTCTCCTTTCTCCAATTGCTTATTTTGTGCATCTCTTTTGCCTCCAGACTAGACCTCGATGTCTTTGAGGAAGGAGGGTCCCCAGAGCAAGAGGACCCTGGAGAGAACCTGATAAGTGCCAAGGGCAAAAAGGTTGAAGTCACCGGGTGAGACAATCCACATGAACTACACCGGAGCTTTGGGCCTGTGAAGACATCAGTGGGATGTTACCTCCTGGGAGAGACTGACAGCATGTGATTCTTAGCTTCTCTTTGCCCTAATGCTCAAGTGACTCCAGGAAGCAACCTGGCGTGAGAGAGGGCACCATTCCACCGAGTCATGGGCACAAGGCTCTAAAATCTCTTCCAGAGGAAACCTTTATCCCACCTTTGACTGAGACTTCTGGTGACATAGGAAACTTCCCACTACTGGCAGACAGGGTAGAAGACTCTTGCTGAGGGACTACAGCATCTCACAGTGGCTTGGTGGTGGTGGTGGTGACACATGCCCTTAGTCCCCTCACCCACGCTTGGGAGGCAATGGCAGGCAGATCTCTGTGAGTTCAAGACCAGGCTGGTCTATAGAGTGAGTTCCAGGACAGCCAGGGCTACATAGAGAAATCATGTCTCAAACAAAAAGTTTAAGACCCTGGGTCCTGTCCTTAGCTCCAGAGTGTATGGAGTTGGGGTAGGGGAGAGATAAGCTCTCTAAGTTTCAGTGTCCTTACTGTAAAAAAGAAAAAAGAAAAAAAGACTTTATCACAGGGCTTGGATGTGGAGTAGGAGGGAAGGGAAGAGGAGGATGAGGAGAAAGGAGAGCATCTCTAGGTCTGGGGAACATGTCCAGGACAGACTTGCCCACAGGAGAGATCCACACACCTGTGTGACACACTGTGTACCTGCTCAGGTCACCATGGTTACAGATCTGAAGGTCCTTGTATGTCCAATGCGAAGCACCACCTCCTGCCCACCAATCAGACTTGTCTCTGTTTTAAAAGGCAGCTGCAGAGATTCCTGAGATCCTGTTACAAGTGAGATGCTCCTTCTGCATCCTCCCCCTCTCCTTCCCCCTTTCCTCCTCCTTCACTGCAGAGCCCAGCTCTATCCTTCCTTCC